TAATAATAATGATAATAATAATGATAATAATAATGATAATAATAATGATAATAACAACAACAACAACAATAATAATGATAATAAAAATAATAATAATAAAGCACTGCAAGTTTAGCAACCCGAACAAGTCACTAAATATCCGTCAATTTAATCCTTTGCTGCCAAAGTATTGATGGATATAACAAAGAGAAAGGCTGAACGATTTTTATTGAAATGAATTATTAATTTAGCCCAATCGGCTTTAGTATGCTATGTAAAATGTTTGTCATCTATTTTTTTTTCATAATATCATTTTATTTCTGTTCAGATTACTGATTACTACTTTTACGCTGTGCACTTTTGGCAATATAACGCATGATACCCCATTCTACATCCATAGGGCCCAATGTGACATCTGTGCACAGTGTTTTGGGGTGCGCTTATGGAAATAATTCCAGAAACGCATTTTTAAAGTCAGAACTCATGTGAAACAAAGGCCCAGCTCTAAGTCTCTGACCAGTCCAGCTCATCCACGCCAAACTCTCCCATCCATGTCCCAATGGAGCTTGTTGGAAGAGGATGGGGCCATCTCCAAACTGTTTGCAAAAAGTTTGGGAGCATGGAGAAATGACCACAGAAGCAGAGAAAGCCTCCACTGATCTGGAGTCCAGTGGCAGTGCTTCTCACACCGCTGCATCCTAATCGCTTCCACTCCGTTATGACACCTTTGACCACTGACCGGGGAATATTTAGGAGCAAGGACATTGGACGGGCTGCACACATGGCATCCTATGGCCATTTTAAATTATTTGAATTGGTGAGCAATTGCTTTTGGTAATACAAAATAAATGTTTGCTCTGATGAGAAAAATCAGAGAAAAGCTCTGTCGACAACAATGTTGAAACTTATGTCTGGTTATATCATTCTGAGTGAAACTGCAGTAAAAAATAAGATATGAAAATAAAATATTAGGTAATGAAAACAGTTTGTTCCTGAATTTTCATGTGTTTCATCCTGTGTCTTTTAAGTAGGTGGTGTAGTTGTTTTTACCATTGCAACACAGTAAGGAGGCTCCAGATTAAAAAAAATTTCTGGGCCTTGTGTTTACATGTTTTCTTATAGTACTAATTACTTGCTTATTAATTTAAGCTTTCTTGTTTTGTCATTTACGGTCAGTCCTTTTCATTTCTCTGTTGGCACACTGTAAGTCCTCATCGTTTCACCTCGTCTTTTCTCGTGGTCCTTGTTCCCTAACTCTTTGTTCCAAGGTTTACTCACTTGCTTTTGTCCTTTTGGTTCTGTCTTTTGTTACTTTTATTATTTTCGGTTTCTCATGTTTAGTTTTGTCTATCCGGCTTCCCTCGCCACGTGTTATCTTTTTGTAAATAAAAGTTATGTTTACACAGTCACAGTGTACCATGTCATGTTTACAATCACATTAGCATCCCAAATTATTTGTAGTCAACCGCAGAGCAAACATAAAAATGCAAACAAAGGACTGAGAGTGGAGACGAGCAGTAGTCTAATCAAATTTCTCAAATGTGATTAAGGCTGGTTCCACTGATTGATGAGCTTGTAACAGAAGCAGGAGTGGCCGGTAGATTTCTGTTTTCATCCTTCTCAATCTCAAAACTGGAAACTCAGGCTGCTACTGCTTCACTGTTACAGTTTGAAAATGGAAAATATTTCTCAAATACGTTTCTTTTGGGATAGAATAGCTTTATACACATAGAAATGATCGAATGTCAAATAAACCTACCCATAAGAAGTAAGAGAACAAACACAGGTGTGTGCATTTTCCTGAACTGCTGTTAACACAATAGTGTTGCCTAGAAGGAAAAAAGAAAATCCATCAATCAGAGTTAATGGCTGGACAGCACATTACACTACGTAGATGCAACAAGCCTTTTTATCTGAAAAAACACAAATAAAAGTGATCACATTTACAAGTTCTTAGCTGTAAGGAAATGCTACAAATGAAAACAAGTTAAAAGTTAATTATCATACGTGAAACTTAACAACTCTCTATTTTCATTGTTTTTATAAGCCTATAAAAAACATGAATCAAAAGCAAGGTGTTACACCCTAATAGTAATAATGATAATACAACTAACAGTGTATTTATTTCTAAAACATACACAATAGAATTAATTAGACATCTCTTATTATTTCCCTCCAACAGATTTCATGCACTGCAACAAGTTAGCACAATGTAGCCAGTAACAAATATGAAAATGAGGTAATTCCAGTTTCTTACCGAGGCTCTTTAATGCTTTTTTCTTCTGGTACTTGCAACTGTGGATGATGGAAATGATAGAAGAGATTGTAGTAATGTGCTGGGCTGGGCATGATGAGAAAAGCAGCTGGACAGAAGCCAGATGGGAGGGTTGGGCGGAAGAAATCGTGAGCGTTGTGCTGTAAATGAAACACTGTCCGTGTCCAAGTTCATGTGTACCGAAACAAGTTTTTTTTTTTTTTTATTGGCCAAAAGGAACTTCTCCCATTCAAGCCATTTATTTATTTTTTCTATGGAGCAAAAAAATCCAGGTTACATTGCTTGGGCTCAACTTCCTTTCCTTGATCAACAACAAAGTCTAGTGAGTTCATAAAGTCTGACTGGCTCTTTCTTTGAACCATTAATAAATTACCTTAGAGAAACACATGAATGCCAAGCTCTTCACATCTCCTCCTCCATCTCTTACCCTGCGTCTTGCCCTCAGTGAGATTCACCAGGTGGGAGTGGAAATACTTGTTTCCCCCCTCATCTTGGTGCGTCCTCATCTATATCACCAATAAAAATAATCAGCATATATATCATTTCACCACATACAAAACTTTTTAATTCAATGCAATTATAGAATGCCAATAAAAGGACACATTTTTGCTACTGCAATGACACAATCCAGTTCAAGCCAGTCAAAATCCGATTATGTTGTACTTACATTCTTCTGCCATTTCATTATTTCATTTTTGTTGGGTCTGGGTTGGCCAGGTGCCAGCTCCATAATGTGAAGTCTTTCAAATTCCCCGGTTTGCTTCCATGCCTTACAAACAGGATGATGAGTAGTAATGATGGCACATCAGTTAGTGCATGAAAAGGTCTTGATAAATTATAGTCTCTGTCTTAATGCATTCTAGATTCATCTAAATTTTTAGCCTCCGCCCTTCTTTTCAGGTTCTTTTAGAATGCTCTGAGCTTGCTTTGAGCTCTAGATTCTTGAAATCAGTTTTTGATTTGTTAAGAAAGGTAAATGCACTGTTGAGTAGACCCAAAGTTACAGGTTGATCCTGCTGCTTTGACCATTGTCCTCGTCTGTCTAACAAAGCAAGCATAAGAGTGTCTTTATTTCTCTGTGATAGGTCGGAGCCTGTGGTAAATCTGTTGGCTAGGTGTGCTCATTCACGTTTTTCTAACCGGATTCAGTGATAACATGAACAAGACGTTGGCATGTTCATGTCAGAAGTCACTGGCCAATGAGACTCGGTAGCAAAATCCAGCCTAGTCGCCATCCCAAGAAGACATCTATGAATTACACGTTGGAATAATGACTTCTCTTGTTTGTTCTTAGGCTTCCACCAAATCAGGCAAACAAAGGTCTTTAAATGACTTGAAAAGGGATTTTGTCATACAGTACTTTGGTTTTATATTAAGGATTTCAGTGAAGCGCAGTAACGATTTAGTTAAGTTAAACAGTAAATCTTTTTTTAAATGTATACTCAAATGGATCCTTTTCAGCAACTGAATTAGAATAATGTGTTTATGACCGCAACTTTATTGGGGATTTAGCTCTATTATCATTACTTCAAATTAATTTTTTACATCGAGATGGAAAAAGTTCTAACTTCAGAGAACTATCAAACTGAGGATAGAAATACTGAAAACAATTAGGCACACATATTTCCAAGCTATAAAACAGTGGCAATGTAATAATCAACTGGATGTGGAAAGACTGCACAGACGATTCACAAACGTATATTTTCCCACTAATAAAGTAACACAGCATTAGGCTCGGAGCGACAGAGCTCCCGGAGGATCTCAGTAGCTAATGGCGTTTTTCCATTAGTGCCTACTCGGCCCAACACGGTTTAGCCTGGGAAGCTCTTTGTGGTTTAGGTGGTTTTACATTACAATTTATGACTGAACAGAAAGATGGGCTGACCTGTGTGGGACATCATCCATATACAACACAAGCACAAGAAAACAATGAGGGAAAATGGGGCAACTACAGTATAAACTGCCTAAAAACCTCAGTGTTGGACCACTGTGTTGGTTTGTGCATGAGGCATCACTGAAACAATGAAATAACATCACTGTTGCCTGGTTTTTAAAATGGGTGGGGTTTACCTGACAAATCACTATCTATATTGTGACTATATTGCGACTCTATTGATTTAATCTAACATTTGTATTGATTTCTGACAACAATGAAAGCCAAGGTTATTAGTAATAAAAGTAAAACACTGGACAGCGCCCGTGGTTTGATCCCGCAAACGGGAGGAATCAGCGAATTCGGAATGAATTGATGAGAGAAGTAACCACTGAGCTACACCAGTGCGATGGTCAGAGGAGGAAATGTCCTTTATACTGTGTTTTACAAAGGCTCAGCGAGCAGCGCAAACAATATTGTACTGTTTCTCTCAGTGGGATTCAATTCATGGTGCATTTGAGCCCTCCAAATGCACTGTGACGCAATTGAAGGATTTTGTCATACTTAAAAAGGCTGAAAATACCATAGAAGGCATTAAAAATCACAGACCTTTGTCAGTGATTTGAAAGTATTGATTACAGATTCTGTTTAAACCTCAGTGTTGAACCACTGTAACTGAGGTTGTAGTTAAGGAGAAAACTGTGGCGATGACATAAGTTTGAACAACAGATGAAGGAATGATTTGTATCGTTTGTCATAAAAGCAAAACACTGGACAGCACCCGTGGTTTGATCCCACGAATGGGAGGAATCAGCGAATTCATATAGAATTGGTGAGTGAAGTAACCACTGAGCTACACCAGTGCGATTTTCCCAACAGGGAGTAGCCTTTATATCATGTAACCTACAACAACTGGAGCGAAATAGCAAACGTTTCTATAAATAAAATCACAGCAGCAGAGTTGTACGTAAGCTCCTTTTCCTCTGAAAGAAATATAAAGGGCTATATGTTTTGAAATCAAACAAAAATGCACTGTACTCATGATGTAAATAAAAGTTTGGCTCAGGTTACAAACCATGATGTAATAAATGTGACATGATCACCAAGAGCCAACAGATGAAGGAATGATTTGTATTTTTTATATTAAAAGTAAAACACTGGACAGCGCCCGTGGTTTGATCCCGCGAACGGGAGGAATCAGCGAATTCGGAATGAATTGATGAGAGAAGTAACCACTGAGCTACACCAGTGCGATGGTCAGAAGAGGAAATGTCCTTTATACTGTGTTTTACAAAGGCTCAGCGAGCAGCACAAACATTATTGTACTGTTTCTCTCAGTGGGATTCAATTGCATGGTGCATTTGAGCCCTCCGAAAGCACAGTGATACACTTGAAGGATTTTGTCATACTTGAAAAGGCGTAAAAAATACCATAGAGGGCGTTACAGATCACAGACGTTTGTCAGTGATTTGAGAGTATTGATTACAGGTTCTCAAAAAGGTCATAACAAAAGCTCTGGACTTTCAAATGTTCTCAAAGCTGGTTTATTTACACATGGTTGTGTAAATGGATGACGTACATGAAAAATTGACAATCATATTATCTGATTATTAGATAATCTGTCACTAAATATGAAGAAGAAGATCATATTTTCAGCTGTTAATCTGCTGGATAACCAAAAGGTTTGTGTGACGTTTCAGGATCTGATGTTCTGATTCTGTCATGATTCTTTCAAGGGATTCATCAGGGTTTGTCATGCCTTGCAGCATTCAAAGAAAGTATGGTCAGAACATAAGACAATGGGTTGGAAAATATCATTGTAAACTCAAAATATAACTTAAAAAGGCGGATTTTTTATGGACTGTCCATCTATTAAAAAATTTTGTGTTTATAAAGCCCATATATTTGTATGTTTTCTGCAGGCATTGTCTGACATTTCCCTCAGTTTTTGTAGGCTACCTACAGGTAAGTCCAAATTCTGTCTCCTGAAGTCCAACAAGACTTTTTGGTTTTGACTATCAGTTCAAAGGGCAGAGTAAAGGAGTCTCTGATATGACTTTAAAGTGGTTCAAGTCCTACCTCGAGGACAGGTGTTACTTTGTTGAAATTGGGGACTGTATCTCAGACCGAATGGGTCTGACCTGTGGAGTTCCCCAGGGCTCAATCCTGGGACCCGTTTTGTTCAAACTGTACATGCTTCAACTGGGACAGCTAATACGCAGCCATAATCTGTCCTATATGTCTTCTTAGTCTGAGGGCTGCAATGTTTTATTGAACACTCAGTATTGTAAAAGATTTGAAAAACTCATAGTATTATCTCTATATTAATAAGTGAACTTAAATAAACTAAAACATGCATGCAGCTCTTTCTGTAGATGTGCAGTAATAGCATGAATGAACTCACAGAAGTACATATCAACCACAGTACAGGTTTAATAACTAGTCCAATAGGACCATCTACTGGTCAGAACGAGTGTCACTTTCATATGCAGCGGGAGGACAAGTCACAGTCTAGAGGAGATTTACTTCTACTGAATTTAGCTTATTCATTTCTAGACTTAAGCGCCATTATCCTTCCACAAGTGTCACATTAGTCTGAAATCCCCCCCACCACCACCACAGGACTGAAATATCAGGCAAATACCTCCAGGCTCGACATGGATACTAACATGCTTAGAGCTCCAGAACATCAAGAAGAAACTAAAATAAATTATGGTGAATTTAAAGGGATTGTGAAAGACAAGATGCACAAGTGAATATGAATGGATGAATGACATAAAGCTGTATGCCACACAGCAAAGAGATCAGGATAGCATTTGACCAGAGGGTCGAACTACCAGTGGGCACCATAGCAGACAATGAGGAAAACTACTTTGGGATCTCACAGGAAAAGGCCAATCATGAAGATGCCGCAAAGATGGCTACAACCAACGAGAGGAAATAAGTCTGAGCCATCAACACATCTGCTCTGCCATTAAATCAGATACCCTGCTGGCAAAGTAGTGCGACCAAAGATGGAAATTGACCTCATTCACATCAAGACCACAGAGCTCCTCACAATGCATGGTATAGCCCCAAGTCCAGCCCCTTACAACTGCATGCTAAGCGAAGAGAAAATAAGGAGGCAGAGCTGCCATCTAGGATGAAACAAGGAATATCAGGGAATACATTGGAAACATGGCCTCCAGTCACGCCAGTATTACAGTACAAAGGGATATGTACACATACACACACATACACACACACACACACATACACAGAGGCATTTAGCAGTTCTCCTAGAGGACTAAAACATGCATGTTAGCCAAATTGAAAATGGGAGTGAGTATGCTTGGTTGTCTGTTTTGTTTGTCTCTGTTTGGCCTCGGGATGATTTGTGACCTGTCTAGGTTGTAACCTGCCTCCTGCCCAGTGCCTGCTGGGAAAGTCTGCCCCCGCAATACCCTACTAGGAATGGAAAACGGATGGAAGGACATGTGTGTGTATAATGTCAAATGTAAAGATCCGACCCACAGTTCAGTGACCTGTGTGAAAACCACACTGCTCCTCCTCAATCCAAGGTTTAACTATTCAATAAAACACAATAACAAATCTACTACAGAATGAAAAAGAACGCGATTAAGGTGATTAAGGTGTTGCAATGTTGTGGTAAAAGTTCAGCCCTCAACCTGACTGAAATAAAGAGGACATTAAGACTTAATTTCCGTAAGGCCATTTATTGTCGCTAATTTGAGGTTGCATTTAATTAATTTCAACACTGTTTTTTACGCTTTACAGGGATGTGTTTTGTAAAAACTTTTTAGAATGCAACATTTGAAAAATAATAAATACATTTTTTTCTGATTTGTAATGGCCAAGGCCTCACTAAGGAGGTTATCAGTATGCAGTAGTTTACATAATGAAGAAAGTCTACTTTGGTCATTGTAATGAGGTCAGCATTTATTTGCATGGAATATCTCCAGCATCCCGTTCTGTTTACAGTTCACTGTTGAAAGACTTTATTTACGGGAAGTCTAGTGCTTTCTGTAAGTTTAGAAAGATCTGCCAATACTAATAGTTATAACCTTTTTTAGTTGTTGTCCTCCATCGTTTCTGTGAACCATGACAACATTTTAGTTGGATGTAATTCTCTCTTATCGATTTTATGCTGAACTGAATCCTGTTGTTATGTGAATGGTTTTGGCTCAGCTGTTGTTCAGGAGTAGTTGAGGTGAGGCCCACTCGTAACCCATCAGTAATGGGTTATTGTTCAATCAATATGGAAATTTTTTTATTTTCTTTCACCTTATATTTAAGTTTGCCAGGTTCTCCTGGTCAGAAATTCTGTCTGAGCCAGTCTGAGCCAGTTCCTTATGGAAGTGCTTTCATGTGTGGTCAAAGTCATTCTTGTTTTTCAGAGATCCTTCATCATGGATATTTTTGGTCTAGAGATAGAGTATGTATGTATATGTATATATATACTCTATCTCTGTTTCTTACTCTACTCTGCAAATGATTTCGCAACCTGTAAAAGTGATGGTTGTTATCTCTGAGATCATTACGACGGCATTATTGGGCCAATGCAAAATTAGTTCTCCCTTCAATGTCCAAAACTACCGTGTAGTTTTCAAAATCACTGTAACAACATAGTTCTCACCTCGCTCTCACTGCAGTATCAGATTATACAAACTTTCCCCATTTCCAAGCCAGCTATTAGTCATTGGATTGTAAGCGCAGCTATTTCAGGCGCGTCTTAGAATGTCAATGATTGACAGCAATGAAATCAAACAAAGCAAGTACCATGATGAGCAGATGTGGTCTGTGTGTGCATCCGGACTGGGTGCCCTGTTAGCTGTAAATTTTTAATAGTTGCTCTCAGAGTTTCAAGAGAGACAGCTATGGATTGTTCTGGGACTCAGATATTGACATGGACAATTTGTGTGAACTTTTTTGGGTTGTGCGTGGGTCAAGTGGCAGCACAAACGTAAGTTACTATTTACCATCATTTTTCATATCTAATAGGTATATTTATAGTATTGAAGTTCTTGTTGTTGTATAGGTGTGGATGAAAGTCAAGATCTTGTCAAGCTCGGGATAGGCCCATATATTAGTCTTCTTTTACAGATTACAATAGACTTAGACTTAGACTGAACTTTATTGATCCCTTGGGAAGACTCCCTCAGGAAATTAAGGTTACCAGAAGATACTGGAGAGGCAGCCGTCTACACAGCGCCAGAATATGCAGCAGAATATGTTGCATGGTTTTTTCTTTACATATACAAATAGTTCTTCTGGAAATGTTTTTATTCCAAAGCAATAATAAAGCAGTTCTTACACTTTATTTATGTTACTTCAGAAGTGCTGGATGAAGAACACTACCTTAAACATGTTCAAATATATTTCTAGCACATTTAATTATTTGCCTTTCACTGAAAAACAATTAAATTACATCGACTATCAGTATTAGCAAACAGCCAAACGACCTCCTTTACAGTCTATTTTGACTCAGAACCTCACAATTGGGGGCGTGCGGTTGGTGTGGTTGTTGTAATGTTGCTACATTACTTCAAGGCAAAAGCTTTTCTTTGCAGCAACAGTAGTGGCAGCAGTGCAAATCATGCAGCTGGATCGCTAAAAAAAGCTTCTCCAGATTGTGAGTTCTTGCAGACTGCAGTGTGTAGCCGGCTGTCAGCTAAGTGGTCAGTCTGTGAAACCCCTCGCTGATTTGTTGTAGCACTGTTACAAAAGTTGAATGCTTTTCAACTTCCTCGTGTTGCGTCGCAAGCCAGTATACCTTCATGAACAAGTAAAAATACGGGCTACTGTACTCGCAGCACTCCCCACCCCCACCAGGGAGAAAACCCCAAGGTCTACCCAGGCCCTAATTATTTCTTCATCGAGTTCTGGGGCTACTGAGGGTTTTCTCCCAAACAAAACATGTAGACTGGATGGTCAAACTTCCCGGTGTACCTCTGCAAGGGTAAACGTCAACTGTCCCATGACCTGGACCAATTACCCAGAATCTGAGGTTCAATAATCAGTTGAAGCATTCTTTCAAACACCCTGGTGCCAACTCTCCGGGGAAGGCTGAATAACGAGATCCCCCTGTAGTTAGAACACAAGGGGACCAGAAAAATTGGGACAACCCAAATTGGGGATGACTACCTTCAAGTCACGAGTCTTTGTGAATTTATCTGAACCAGTCAAGATGGGCTGTGCCTTTTATTACCAGAGCGAACAAAGTCATGCGTACAGCCTTTTTTCACTGGGGGTCCAAATGCTCAGGCCCCTGCCTTTGCCCTCCACCCAGCCCACAGTGAACCCATTCTTTAATTCCTCCCCATGAGTGGTGGGCCAAAGAGTCTAGGCTCCGTCGGGGATGAGATACCATCTTGGGTCTGATTCCAGGGGGGTTTCCCCGGGTTCTCTTTTCAGGGCAAGGTTTTCATTTTCCTTCTGGGGATACTCCATGAAGGTCTTGAATCGGTCTTAGTCTGATCCTTCCCCTGAGAACAATAGGCCATTGGACACCCTACCTGGGGCAAAAACCCTAGTAACACGGGGGTACGCGAACCCCCTCTACCACAGTAAGGCGGTATTTTCTACATATGGGACAGTCCCATTTACGACAATTCCAATCAAATATAAAGTGATGCAATTTCAATGAAGAAAATCAAGTTGATTAAGTTCTAAACCAACTTAGCTCATACAGTGCTTAAAAAAAATATTAGTTTAATTGTCCCAGCCAAGGAAATTGATACCATCTGATCTCCTTTTTAATACAACATCCTATAAAGACGCCCAAACACACACACACACACACAAAATGCCAGGAAAAAAAATCACACAAAACTGACATGGAGGCCTTAGTCTCTGCCCGATGCTAAATGTTTTGCATATCGATGATGTGTATCTTTGTACGTTTGTTGCCTGAAATTGAACTGGTTTACATGAATAGTGATTTGCTAGTAATGCATCTGCTGCATGTGTGAACCTACCTGTCTGCAGACACTACATGGTGGCCATTCCTGCTGTTCTTCAGGCAGAGGCTGAGAACAAATTCTGCACAAGTCTCCTGGAACCAACGGAGAGTCTGACCGTGACTGTCACTTTGATGTTGTCCGAGAGGAACATGACCCTTCTGCAAACCACATCTCACGAAGAGTTTCATACTTGCACTCAGTTTATGGTCAGCTTTAAAGACCTTTGTCCTTTTATTTGTGTATATTTCAAAATATATTTTCATTTGTGTTCCTTTTAAAACAGCTTTGTGTAAGTTGTGGAATAGCGATGTTTCAAAAACACTTAATTTGCTGCAGATATCTTTTTTAATTTGTTTTGACTCTTAAGAGGTAAAAGTTTCCCATCGTTACTTTTTACGAATGTCTATCTGTCACAGGCTCCATCGGTACAAACTGAAGTTCAGAATTTGGAAGTGGAGGTGCGAGGGGATACGTTTTACTCAAGAGAAGTTAGAAAAGTCATGATCAAAAAATATGAACCCAGAGCATTTGTTCAAACAGATAAACCAATCTACATCCCTGGACAAACAGGTAAGTTTGAAGATAATTATGTCTGGAGAAGCTCATTAAAGATTAAACAAACTGATGCAATCCAATCCAATAGTAATAAAAAGATATTACTATTGTTACTGTTGTTTTCACTGTAACTATTATCAGAGCGATGATCCCTTGGATAGCTTGGAATCCAGAACCATAATTCTTCCAATAACAATAGAACCACAAGGACAACTTATCACTTTGGGGACCCTGTGTCAGGCACTACTTCAGACCTTTCTGTGAAGAAAATCCATCCAGAAATAGAGGCATCTGGGATGGTTCATCATTTATTACAGAATATCAAACCTAAAGAGCAATAGTGCTATCCAGACAGCTCTGATCAACCAGTCCCAGAGCCATAACGAATACGAGCTTGAGATCTCTTCTGGTATTTTCCATTATGTATCTTTATTTTAATTTTATTTTTTTAGGAATTCAGTAAATTATCCCTGACAATAAATGTATTATTTGCTCATACACATTTTTTATGACCAGAAATCAGCGTTAAGTCCAAGAAGCCTTTCAACTAACAGTAATGATGCAAACCTTCATGTAATTGTAAATTATTTTCAGTGCATTTCAGAGTTGTCACTCTGGACAACAAATTAAGACCTGCCAGGCAGCTGGTGAGTATGACCTTTCAACTCTCTGCTAAACATTTCATTGAGTTCAAACTGCAAAAATCCTGCACCTTGATTTCAGGTCCAGTTCCCCAAATCAAATACTAGAGTTGAAGCGAAGTTGTGAAATAAAGTAAATAACATGGACAAGCATATGCTCTTTAACCCAAGTCGTAGTGTGTCCACAATCCGTCAGCTTCCATGAAAGGATCAATGGTGTGATAAGAAATCTTTTAAAATACACCAATATGTGCTTCGATAACAATCTCAATGAAACAAACAATATGTTCATCTGAATGACAGATACTTGTGGAAGAAATAAAAATGATGCTGTAAAGTTACTTTAAAGCTGAAGCATATATCTATGATGATGAACCCTGGAGTGAACCTCCCCCATACTCATTACGACTGCGTGCTCACTGACATTTTTTCTCTCTTTTTCCAGTACGATATCATCCAGTTTCAGGTAAAAAGATGACCTATTGTTACAGTTTCTTCAATTTGGTATGTTCTACTCCTGAAGAAATGTATGAAGAACTCACGGAGTGTGTGGTCCATGTTCACAGGATCCTCAGAACAACAGGATTGCACAGTGGCTAAACAAAACCTCTAGTGGTACAATTTTGCAGCTTTCTCACTCCTTGAGCTCTGAGGCCCGAGAGGGAACATACGTTATTTCGGTGAAAATGGGTGAACAGAAATTCAATCATCTCTTCAAAGTGGAGAAGTATGGTAAGTAAGGGTTCCTATTTGGAACCACAGGAGGATTGGTGACAATGTGAGAGAGTTACCTTCCTCCACAATGAAAAAGGCATCCTGATATGAAAAGCTTATTTCTTTTTATGTTATTTGAATATTACTATATTTTGGAAGAAAGGATACGTATGCTACTGCAAACCCATTGGCCTTAATTTACAATAAAGATCAATGGGCAGAAGACTCCTTAGTGTTATTGGTTTACAAATCACTCAATGATATCGGAACGGAATACATCACTGATTTTTAGTATAATAGTATTAAAAAGAAGCATACTGAGATCTTGAGGCAGCAGTCAGCTAGAGGAACTTTGAGTTTGGACCAAAAGGGGTTAAGGATTTTTTTGTTATGCTGTAAATAAGTTAAAATGAGAATTATACTGTTTTCCCATGCCTTCCTTTGGTCCTGTTTTTGCCTTTTCTTTGACAAGTACAACAATAAAACTAAGAATTTTACAAGCCAAATGTTTTTTTCAAATGAGGTTTTAATGGTATCTTTAATGTTTTTCAACAGTTTTGCCCAAATTTGATGTAAAAATAAATGTACCAAAACAAATAAATGCTGCAGAGGAAGAATTGGATGCTAAAGTGTGTGCAAAGTAAGTAAAAGTTCATCATTAGGAAACCATTCCAAAAAGTTTAGTTTTAACAAAAACATTTTTGTATAACTACTTTTGAATTTTGTACTTTTGAATTCTTTAGGTACACATATGGACAGCCTGTGCAGGCAAGAGTGACAATTAAGGTGTGCCGACCTGTTCACCTTATTATTTTTTTAAAACTCACCTCTGACGAGTCACTTTTAGAGGATTTTGATAAAATGAGGCGATGTGCCACCAAGACAATGCAGGTAAAACTAAACTGAGGAGTCGTTTATTTACGGTGAAATAAGATGCAAAAAGCTCAAATAAAGAAGTTGCTGGAGTCCCTCAGGAATTGAAAATGACAATACATAATTTAATGGTTTGACATTCCTAATACTATTTGTTGGTTTGATACTAATAAACATTTTTAAGATATTGGTTAGATTACATAAGATTAGAGTGTATAAAATTCCATCAGATCTGGTAGATCTATCTAATCTGGTGTGGTGGTTAGCACCATCGCCTCCCAGTGAGAAGGTTCTGGGTTCCAGTCCCCGGGGGAACCAGAACCTCTCTGTGTGGATTTTGCATGTTCACCCCGTGTCTGAGTGGGTTCTCTCCGGGTTCTCCGGGTTCTCCAGCTTCCTCCCACGGTCCAAAAACCTGCATGTTAAGTTGATTGGACATTCTAAATTGCCCCTAGGAGTGAGTGTTAGTGCGCATGGTTGTGTGTCTCTGTGTCGCCCTGTGATGGACTGGCAGACCATCCAGGGTGTACCCTGCCGGAAATAAGCAATAATGGATGGATGGATGGATAGAGCGTTATGGTCTAATTTAATCTAAAGCAAGTAATTAAATTTGATACTATTTGGACATGAATTTGAGTACATTTTGAAAAATATTTTCCTTTTATTCTAATGGCTAGACCGACAAAAGAGGATGTGCTAACTTTAACTTGAAGGTGGCAGCGTTTACCAGACACAAACCCTCGGTATTTAAGGATGTGTTAAACGTCACTGCCACAGTTGAAGAAGAAGGGACGGGTAAGTTTTTTTTAAAGAACACACAAACACACACAAATAGACAGATAGATACAGTTGTGAAATTGAGGCTTTTTTTGTGTGTTTTTAGGTGTTTCACACCCCCAACAGGAGACAGTAGAGATCTCGCATGTTATTGCAACACTAAATTTTTTCGATACTCCTGATTTCTATGAGAAAAACTCAATTGTTGAAGGAAAGGTAAGTGCACATCTTATCAGCGCTATTTTTACGAAGCGTACTTTTGATGTTACATAACTCTGTTTTCCACAGGTTAAAGCTGTTTACTTCAATGATACACCCATAAGAGGTGCATCGCTGCACCTGTTTGAAAAGAGGTCAGAACAACTATCACAGAATCTCACTACTGACAGTGATGGAGTTGCTTCGTTCACTGTCAACACAGAAAGTTTCAATGGGGATATTTTTCTCCGGGTAAGTTAAAAGGAGTTACATCTCAATTTAAAGGATGGTGCAAGGTATTTTCAACCGATTGCTGTAACGATCTTTGACTCCGTGGAGGTGGAGTGAAATGTACAGCTCAAGAGAAGTTTATCTCGAATAGGTTATTTAAGGAGCAGAAGACGCTCACAGGGAGGATCATCAAAATTACCACAACAAAGATCCGGGAGCTAAACTAGAAAACTTGACAACAAAATCTAATTGTCAGACAGAACAAACAATTACGAGAAAAGACAGAGAGAGATATGAGTTGGATATGGGTAGATTTACAGACAGGTGGGAGCAATCAGGGGTTAGCTTGACAATCACAATGGAGGGAAAAATCACTCAGAGGTAACAAGTCCAGTTCTGCAAGTGGAGGGAAAATGTCCAGAATAAAACAGGAAGTGCCTAACACGACCAACATGATCACTTCCACCACACCGGAGACTACACATTAAGCTACTCAAAACGTGACAAAACTTTCACGACAACACTTGGAAATGACTACCTTCAACATTTTTGATGGAACATTAAATTGAGCTTTAATTCTGCCCATTAAAACAAAAGGTATATTAACCTCCATAATATCTTTTTACTCCAAACTAGGTGGTCAGCACACTAGTGCAGCCAATCCATCACTCCACAGTACCCTTTTATCAGACAAAATTTCACAGGCTGTCTGTCCTCCAACCTCCCTCCCCTGACACTAAAACAGTCAGCTCCCTGAAAGTGAAGACGAAGGATGAAGCACTGCTGTGTGACAAAGAGGAGGACATTTCCATCCAATACACCATAGTGAAAGAAAACGAGGGCTCTGTGAACGTGATGTATCTGGTGAGTCATTCCTGATGAATTCGACACAGGTTCTTTCCGCTGAAATTAAAACTGGATGTGTTAATATTTAATATTGCCATAAAGATAGTTGTTGATATCCAACTTTGTAATAAAGTTAAGTGTACCTAAAGGATATGAAGATATTTTGGTTGCTTAGAAATGCCTTGTTGTGCTCTGGAAATGTTTAATTTTGCATCACAAGCGCTTAATATCAGGTCTTGTGTGAAAATACAACTAATTATTAATTTTGAGCAGGAAAAAGGGGCATTTATGTCTTTTAAAAAAAATTTTTTTTCAACTTTTGCTCATAGAAGTCCGAAAAGTTAAATAGGATTTATATTTCCTCTGCAAGGCCACACCTCGTCATTGTCCTGGTACAACAACATTGGATGCAGTGCAGAGGAGGTTTTAAAGCATAATAACACAAAAAATGAAATAATTGAATACAAATATTAATAATGTATTGTCCTTTCAGGATTGCAGCTCACAAAATAAAAAAACTGCACCTCCACTATATTTATCGGTCAGATTGTTATATAAAAATCTAATAGCACAAATTACAAAGTAAAAATAGACAAACATCCTCCTTAAGATTGAGTGAGTGTAATAAGCAGCAGCACAGTTGAATGCTACAAACCACTGTCTTACAATAAATCAACATGTTTCTTTAGGAGGTTGGTTTTGGTTCACTGTGCAAGATTCATGGAAAGGTTAAGTCATGTAAGACATTTTGCATGCTAGGAAAGATCTTTGTTTAGGCTTTTTAACCTTTTTAAGTCCTATATCCTAAAAATATGTGTTCCAGCGTCCCTGTAATTTTTTTTTCCAGTCATCACACAAATGTTGAGCCACACAGGTAACATGACAGTAAACTGAGAAGAGAGCTAATGTTGAGTCACTCAGTCTTCCTCTTTAACCCATCAGGTCTTAAGCAGAGGGCAAATTGTATCCCATGGATTCAGACCAGTTGAAGTGCGCGATACACATGGTGTGTGTATACATTTGTTCAATTCATTCATTTGTAGAATTACGTTGAAATTAGATTAATCATTATTAATAAGTAATAACCGACTAATGATTTTTTTTTCCATCTGTTTAGTGAATGAGGGGACGCTGGTGTTTAAGTTAAAAGTGTCTCCAGACATGGCACCGGATGTTCAGGTTGTGGCTTATGCAGTCCTCCCCAGCAAGAATGTGATTGCTCACAGTGCCGACTTTTCAACGGGCGAATGCTTCAATAATAAGGTTAGTGGAAGAAGAGGACGAACACTTGTTTACTTTAAGCTTGAAGTCTCATGGGAAAAAAAACAATAAGATGCTATTTGGTAACACATAATTCAATTTTCAAATTATTCCACAGACTAGAATTTAGAATAACAGAGCAAGGCTGTTTTGTGACCATAATGTTTGTTAGTTTAAAACACGGTCTTGCTAGAGCTTTAACTCACATCTCTCGGAAAACTGATCTTACAACCCAAGGGAGGTTGGGAAATTGAATCTGAATAGACCATATTCAAGACAATCCCAGAAGCAGAGCCAAACACAAATCAGACGCACACACATAACACACAAAAAAGGAAAATTACAACACGCATTCCACACGGACACACGACACACACTTCAACTAACACCCCCACCAAAAATAGAATAAATACATAAATAAAGCAATCAAACCAATCACTTACATTCATTTATAAGAAAAACTAGATAAATAAATCACCCCAGAATGTACCTTTGTGGGCACTTTGTGGATGGGTAGCAAAACAGCCCCCCTCTGGCACCAGGAAGCCCCCAGGCAACAGGGGGCGTAGAAAGACCCCTCAACTCGCCATGCTTTTGATCACATTTTTTCTTAACATTTATTGTAAAAGCAGAAAATACTGGCTACATTTAGCCTGTTGATGCTGTACAAGCCTAGACTTTAGCCGGAAAGGAGTCGCGACTATGTGTTTTTCTGTTCGTCTCAGGTATCCCTGGAGTTTTCCCTGTCCTCAGCCGTCCCAGGAGACCAGACCGGAATGCAGCTGAGTGCCCAGCCACACTCCCTGTGTGGCGTGAGCGCCATCGATCAGAGCGTCCTCATCAAGGAGCCGGGAAAGACTCTGACCGCACAAAAGGTGACGTCCGGTATCCGCTGGAGTCAAACATCTGGCCGATACATTCTCACTGTTACCCTCTGAGGCTGTGTCCATGTGTTGTAAAGAACATTTCTGCCACACAGTGTGCAACGCAGCTCGATATTCCGGTTATGTCTTAATTTGTACGTGTACACAGACACATATATATATACATATAAACATTAACTTACTACAGCAAAATGATGTATGTCGCATGTCTCAAACTGATGAAGGAACCGCATAAACAGAACAACTTTGGATTCATATTTTGGACTAAAAATAGAGAGTTGATAACTCAATCTTCCATGTCATATCAAAGCTTCATAGATTTGAAAATGAACTTTGCAGCTAACTTTGCTCTGTTTTTCTTCCAAGATTTATGGGTTGCTGCCTGTCAAGAAGGCACATTCTTTTCCATACAAGCTTCAAGACCCTACAGAATGTTTAAATGTTAGACCAAAGAGATACATTTTTCCACATCCGAACGGAAGGGAAAACAGTGCCTATGAAGTTTTCAAGGTTATCTTAATTCATGCTCGTCTACTATTCAAAACGTTCGCTATTGTACTTGTGTTAAACCCCTTTGTTTGTGTTTCTTTATCCAGCGCACTGGATTGAAGATCGCCACTAACTTGATGATTCGAATTCCGGATTGCCTCAATTTCAAAGGACTGGAATACCGTTATGGATCAGTTTCATATAGTGATTATGTCCTCTTTTTCTTCTTTGCAGAAAGTTTGCAAAATTTTGATCCTTGTGTGTGTTCTACGGTTTTTGGTTAATTTTCACATCTTTGTTTAGGGACAAGGAGTTATGGTTTTGCAATTCCAGTGTCAGACAGATTTAGCATTACAGAACCATCTCCACCCAGTACTCCTCCACCATTAAAGACCATCCGTTCATTCTTTCCTGAGACTTGGATTTGGAACCTGGTGGAAGTTGGGTGAGAGATGATTTTATTTATCAAGTACATTTGAGTGAACACATATTTTTTATCTGAAAAACACTGCCTATTTTTTTTATTATATGATGGAACATCGGATTTAATCCGCAACAGAGTGTGAAAGTTTTATGGTTTTGGATGACTTCTTTTAGCATGTATGTAGCTGCATGACAGTGTAGTCAGTAGCACGATCTCCTCACAGAAAAAGGGTTTCTGTTTGCAACTGTACTGGATTCTTTAGGTTTGTAGTTTGCATGTTCTCCCCATGTACAGTATGTTTGGGTTCTGTCCTGCATGACCGAATGGACTGAATGAAAGTGGGCATAGTTGTCTGTCTGTTCATCTGTGTGGTCCTGTGATGGGCTGGTCACTTGTCCAGGGTGTACCCCGTCTCTCATCCAGTTCTAAGTGCAATAGGTACCCCACAATCCTGAAATAAGATGAAACGAGTATGAAAAACCAGGTATTTCTGGCATTTGTGACAAACCAATTATTTAGAAAATAGGTTTGTAGATCAAGGAGTTGCATCTACGACCTGTTTTCATTAGTGATCATGCATGAAAACTATTAAATTTAAGATGAACTTTCAAGATGACCACTGTGTGAATAGGTTTAAAGTGGAAAAATAACCCTGTAGAATGATTTGGTACATTAAGAAATTATAATTAGAACCTCAGTGTCCAACTGTGTATTTATTCCAGAGAGTCTGGCACGAGGGATGTGTCCTTCACTGTCCCAGACACCATCACGACCTGGGAGACGGAGGCATTCTGTTTGTCCCCTCAAGGCTTTGGTCTGGCTTCTCGTAAAAACCTCACTGTTTTCCAGCCCTTTTTTCTTGAGCTGACACTGCCCTACTCCATCATCCGGGGAGAGAACTTTGAGCTGAAGGCAACTGTCTTCAACTACCTGACCAGCTGCATCATGGTAATGGTTGATTTTACTATAACCACACTCTCTATATCATTTTGGCCTACATTAAACTATCTTTAAGCATCCTGATAAACAAAATACCGACCATGCTTAGTCTTTTGAGAAATTCAATTCTGATGAAGCTGTTGGGGCACACGTGCATGGTGGACAGAAGGGGTACAGGGACCGTGGAGGCCTTCAGTCACTGGACCAAAAAAAACTACAAAAATGACTGTTTCCTTCTGAACACCTCCAAAACGAAAAAACAGGAGGTGGACATCAGGAGATCTTAAACTCCTGCAGGGGAGATAGAGACTGTTTAGACCTACAGAAACTTGATGATGAACTGGAATGATCTGACAAAATAGAACCAGAGTAGAGGAAGGCCCGGATCCATCTGTTCTTTCCTCAGGCCCTTCAGTGTCTGCAGTGGCATGTTGTGCATGTTCTGAAATGTTCAGGGGGTCCTTTCTAACTATTAGAGTCATTTTTGTTGATAATTGCTAATAATCTACTTAAATATCAAATAATTGCAACCATTTAAATTTTGAGCCATTGCTCCATTTCCTCCACTGGGAGACGAATAAAGTATTTTACCATTTTTATGTCTAATAAGTTGTTCTTTAAAAAAATTAGAAAGTGAGGAAAATTTCACAATGATTAAAAAATATCACCAACCCAGCAACCGTAGAGACAGATAGATGATCCGAAGATGTGGGACTTGTGGATACTTCGACAGGAGGATGACCCTTTGCGAATCAGAAACCACCAGCAGATCAAAGTTGTGGGAGACATTGAGAATGTTTTGAGTGTGACTGAGTGTGTGTGGTTTTGGCCCTGTGATGGACTTTCAACCTGTCCAGGGTCTACCCTCCCCCCCCTCTTGTCCAATATCAGCTGGGCTCCAGCTTCCCTGTGACCCTAATAAATAATAAATGTTTTATATCCTATAACTGCCACACTGCTAAATTGTGGACACTCGGACATACTAGTTGTTTTTAACAATGTAACAAAAAAATTGTTTTGGTTTCTTAAACAGGTCAAAGTGACCGCAGCCCCCTCCCCAGATTACACTCTCACCCCCCTCTCTGGGAACCAGTACACCTCCTGTCTGTGTGGCAGCGAGCGCAGAACGCTCAGCTGGACCATGACTCCCACGGCCTTAGGTGAGGGTCAGACTTCCACCATTTTGGTGTAAACCTTAATGTAACGAGCAACTGCTGATCTTGACTGCTTCTTCCCAGGCACTGTGAACGTGAGCGTGACTGCCGAGGCTGTGCCGTCCCACGCTTCCTGTGACAACGAGATCGTGAGCGTTCCAGAAAGAGGTCGCATTGACGTGGTCACCCGGCCTCTCATAGTAAAGGTTGGTGCCGTGGGATGAGAGGAGAAGTGATCCATTTGTGATGACATCACACTTCCTCTTGTGGTGAACAATGTCTCCTGCATCTCTTCTCCAGGCAGAGGGAACTGAGGTAACAACAACGCAAAACTGGCTGCTCTGCCCAAAAGGTCAGAACCGTTCCTCCACAAACAGCATAGATGTCAGATGGTAGAAATGAAGTGGCATTTACATCAGTGCATGGTCTCAGACTCTTTTAGATGGCACCAGTGCCTTTTTTATATGTTTTCAGGCATTTTACTGTGCGAATGACTTTGCTTTTTAACAAAGTTTCGTCTGGATTTTTCTCTTAAAGATGATTGTTTTTGTGCACAGGAAACGCTCTGACAGAGGAAACAGAGATGCAGCTGCCTGACAATGTGATTCCTGGATCTGCTCGTGCTACAGTATCAGTCCTGGGTAAACCAAGGCACTCCCTATCACTGTTTCAATTTATCCAAGCCAATTCTGTCAGTTCAGACAGTCTACTATTCTCTGAACACATATGGTGACGTAGATGAATCGAAAATGGTCAGTACTGTCGCCTCACAGAGGATTCCTGGCTGTTTGGAGGTCAGGGTTCCGCTTCCTTTCAGCAAAAACATGTGTGTTAGTTTATTTTGTGACTCCAAATTGACTGCAGGAGTGAGTGTGTGAGTGAATGGTTGTCTGTTTGTGCAGCCCTGTGAGGTTAGCTGTTGAGGCTGTACACCATCTCTCACCCAGTGACGGCTGGTACACCCCATCCCACACACAGACACACATTTCTGTACACATGCATGCCTTTATTTCTGGTGCAGGTGATATCCTTGGCCGGGCCCTGAACAACCTCGATGGACTGCTGAAGATGCCGTATGGATGTGGAGAGCAGAACATGGCTCTCCTGGCCCCCAATATCTACATCCTCCATTACCTCCAAAATACTCAGCAGCTGACAGAAGCCATCAAGGAAAAGGCTTTCCACTTCCTGAGCAGTGGTGAGTCTCTGCCGGTTTCAACTCTTTCCTGTATCTTCTGCAGGTGGGACACTGAAAAAAATGTGTAACTTCTATGACATGCTTTGCTTACCGCCCATGTGCTGTGGTGTATCTGGTGTTGGACAGGCTACCAGAGACAGCTCAACTACAAGGATAGAAAAGGGGCTTACAGCACATTTGGTTCAGGACCAGGGAACACCTGGTGAGAACAAAATAATAACCCGATTTAACAGGCCTGCTAACTTATACATCCATATTTATAGGCCTTTTGTCTTGGCAGAGCAAGTGTAGTCCATAACAGCCTGTATCATTATCGTCTTAAAATCGTTAACAAGCTTGAAAAGTTTATTGCTTTTCATTTTATATAATATAATTGTATTAGATCATATTAATTTGTATGACTAATGTTCTTTATTGCTAAAAAGATGCATAAGGAATGCTTTGTTTACCACCTCTACTAATGTGTCATTTGTTCCATCAGTGTCAGAACGGAATACATTGTACTTTCTGTGTTTTGTGCAGGCTAACAGCTTTTGTGATGAGATCTTTTTTCAAAGCTCAGTCCTTCATCTACATTGACCCAGAGAAGATTCAACAGTCCAGGGATTGGCTGCAAAGTAAACAACACGAGAATGGCTGTTTCAAGAAGATAGGAAAACTCTTCAACAACAGGATGAAGGCAAGACTTGATCTCTTATAGAGTCGATACACAACAGAAATATGCTTTTCCGTTTTAGCTGCATCTCCTTGAGGAAGTACACGGTGGTAAAGAATGTAAGCCTTAATTTTAAACTTAACACCGTTTTCAAAAAACGGATCATTAATCAAAGCACATACAGTAGGTACCTGTACCCTGTGACTGGGTGTATTCTCGCATTTCCCTGTCTGGCAGGGTTAATACTCTGATGATTAAACCAACGTTTTGCTTTGTCTCTTCAGGGTGGTGTGTCTGACAACGTCACTCTGAGTGCGTACGTCACAGCCGCCTTTCTGGAGATGAACATGTCCACAAATGTGAGTAAAGTTTGGAGCCCTCTCTTGTAACATTGGTCAAAGCCTCCGTTCTGGGCTGATATTAGTCCGGACAGATGTTTTGTCTTTAATATACGTTAGATAAGACTTATCCTACCTTTTTATGTGCCCCATTCATAAAAAAAAACACAGTCATTCAAGTTTAGCTCACGGTTTTTTCAGGTAAAATAGGGAAGGACAAGCCATTTTTCTCAAAGGATTCTCATTTACTCTGATAAAAGCCACAAATTGCGGTCAGTAGCTTGGTACAGTAGTAAGGTAAAGCAGACATCTGATATCCCACGCAGACAAGCTTCAGTTTTGCAGCACTTGTCTCCACATTCATGGCTGGTTTTGTATTTTAGGCGACTGGCAGCTTTATTAAGATACAACTTTTCCCCACATGTTAAATTACATGCATCACTTATTACTTTAACCACTAACTACACATCACTAACTACCCCTGCCTGTTATCCATCAGAGATTTTTCCCACTGCCAGTTTTCCTACTTTTTCTTTCAATAAAACTGGAGAAAATGTATTTGTGTCTGCAAATGCAATATGAAAAGATAGGGCTTCCCAAAAAGACTGAAAGAGAAAGTTCTTATGAATGGTGAAAAGATCATCAAAGCACACATGTCAAAGACAGGATCCCCTGTCTTAAAAAACCCAGTGATATTTCTTCCTTTTACACTTACAAATGACTACTGCTGCATTTCAACTTTCCCAACTCTTTAGGTCCTTAAGTATTAAAGAAAATTCAATGAATTTCAATCCAAGGCCTCAGTAATTGCAATTGAATTGACAACGTTCCATGATTTTTAACATTTTTTTTCATTTTAAGCCATTACTCGAGGTGGAATTACCTTTAAGTTTACAGTCTGTTTAGAAACAAACAGGTAATGAAACTGTGATTTCTGTTAAAGACTACTGCGTTGAACAGGAGCCTTTCATATCTAAAAGAGTCCATCAGCGGCGTCAGTAACACCTACACGACCGCTTTGCTGGCGTACGTCTTCACACTGGCAGGAGACATGGAGACCCGTGCTCAGCTTCTGCAGCAGCTCGACACGGTCGCCATAAAAGAAGGTGAGTCCGCTTCCGAACTGGAGCCGTCCAGGTTTAAGGACAACCTCAACTGAGCCCTGTGCATGGCTGTTTTTTCAGGAGGCGTCCTTTACTGGTCTCAGACGGCGACAGAAACATCCGCCTCTCTGTCAGTGGAGATCAGCTCCTACGTGCTGATGGCCAAACTCAGCGCCCCCCACACGGCCGAGGACCTGGGCTACGCCTCCAGCATTGTTCGATGGCTGACACGGCAGCAGAACCACTATGGAGGCTTCTCCTCCACCCAGGTAATAGAAGTTGTCAAATGTTTCTGTCTTATTTGTTGGATCATTTATTTTGCTCTTTTAACTAAAGTTCTTTTAATGCTCCATGACCAGAACAGTCTGTGCTTGATTAACTCATTGACTGCCAGCCATTTTCAGAACAGAGAGTCCCATACTGGCAGAGTTTTTTGAGCATTTTGACTGATTTTTCAAGAGCCACAGAATCGTTTGTGCTATGACTATGTAAACACCGAACACACCAAAAGAAAGAGTAGACTCTCTTCTTTCATCAGGAAAAGAAAATGTGTTTCTACCTTATTCCGTTCTTCCTCGACTTGCGTCTCACCGGCGCCATTTTTCGCATAGTGAACCATTACGTTTTTCTTATTTGCCTACAATCTATGCTCATCTCCCACCAAAAGTGGCACTGCTACCTAGAGGGTCAATTTGTTAGTGCATACTCTGTCTAGAAGCCGATATTTACGGACAAGCTTTAGCAGATCGTCCCCCAAGCCACTCGCGTTGAAAAACATAAAAGACCTCTATAGACGTCTTTGGCAGCCAATGAGTTAAGGGCTTCAGACACTACAGCGAATTAAGCCAGAAAGCCATGTACGCATTGATCTGTGGCCTTGGATTGTATGTTGTAGGACACGGTGGTGGCCCTTCAGGCTCTGGCGCTTTACTCCACCGTCGTGTTCAGCCCAGAAGGCGTGAGCACAGTGACCGTTGCGTCCCCCGGCAGTCAGCTGACCCTCGATGTGACTCCGGAGAACAAGCTCCTGTACCGTGAGATGGCACTGCAGGACGTGTCCGGAAAGTACCGCCTGGAGGTGAAGGGGACAGCCTGCGCCTCAGTGCAGGTCAGTCAAAAATGACGGGTGGAATTTTTCCATCTACGATTCCCAATGCAAAGCCTGATGTCACCTGTTCCATTAGGAAGTCTCTAAGGATACGGAGAACTTCTCGAGAAGGAAATATTCATTTCAGATGATAAATAAATAAAAATAAATACATTTACATGGTTCTTTGCTTCACAAACAGGATAGATCATTTCAGAATTAAGTTATTGGTGCCATTCTATTCAGTAATTTATGCTCATATTTAGTTATTATTTTTGGATATTTAGTATTTGCATGTTAAAGAATATTTATGATTGCATTATAAATACATTACTGTTTTACCATGTTTATAATTTCCTTTTAGTTTAATCTGCATTCAGTTTATCTTGAATGGATAGCCAATATGAACTGTCGCTGACCAATGACGATTTGGGGCTTGCGCATCTCTCAAATGTAAAAACTGTGTGTTTGTCATATTTGAGATCTTCAGTAAAGACGGGGCAAACACACTGTTTTCTACCGCCGGTCAAACTTTAACGTGTGTAGACTCGTTCATTCCGTCTGACTGAGTGGCTATTTGTATCAATCTCAAGAAAGAGATGGTCAACATTTTAAGAACGGCCATTTAGCCACTACAGAAGTTAACTTTGAACTATGTGTTTCGTAGATTTCTCATCATTACAACATCCCAACTCCTACTAATGTCAACAATCTGAGTGTGAAGGTGGCGACGGAGGCAAGCTGCACAGAAGAATTACCGAGACCGAGACTCACCCTCAACCTTCAGTCTCTGTATGTATCTAAGAAGTGGATCCGGTTTCAGTAAAAACTGCTCTCGTGGACAAATCATCATGTATATACACACACAGATTCAGTGGAAAAGAGAAGAGCACAAACATGGTGATCGTGGACATCAAAGTGCTGACTGGATTTGCTCCAGACCAAGAGTCTTTAAAGAAGGTAGCTCCAAACGGTCATCTCGGAATAGTGAGGGATTTTTTGGGGCTACTGTCATGGAGGATGGGTCTGAAACCAGCTGGCTCTTCTTTTCACAGCTCAGAGGGGCGCCGCTCGTGGACCGTGTGGAACAGAACAACGATCACGTTCTGATGTATTTACAAGAGGTGGGAGGCCACACAGCAGCAACGCTATAAAAGCTGGACTCCGTATCTATGGCTGATGCTGACTTTGTTTTCCCTCCAACAGTTAAGATCTGGGATAGCCACCAATCACAGTTTAGCGCTGGTACAGGAGCTGCCTGTGGAGAACCTGAAGCCAGCTGTGGTCAAGATCTACGACTACTACCAGCCAAGTAAAATATTCATTGGAAATAAACACAAGTTCTGTCCCATGTACAATGAAAATTAGAGAATGCTGTCTGCAAACCGATTTTTGAATTAAAAACAGAATACTTACTTTCTTTTTACTTACTTTTTAAATGTTTACATTTTTCATCCTATAAAACCCTATAATGTTTCTGAAATGTTTTGCATCTGGGACTTCCTGCATCATTTAATGGTTAAAAAATTGGTCAAAGTCCTGCTGTACACAATCAATTGACCTGATCACAGTGGGTAGATGACAATATTTGTGACATATCGCACAGCACTAAATTATAAATATTCCAAAATGATTATAATTATAAAAGGCCGAAAGACTACAGACTAAACAATGAAAAAGTTTAAAATGATGTTTTCTTGTCCAGGCAACAGTTCCAAATATTTTATAGCAAAAAGTGCACTTTTGTGTGCCAGGACAAGGCTGAAAGGATTCATACAAAATAATATTGCTTCTTCTAAACCAGGCTCCGGATTTTTAGTGTTTCTTATTTTTCTTTCCAGGTGACCAGTCTGAGGCAGAGTACATTTACTTTTGCACTACAGAAGACAACGTGGGACAAGACAGAGAATAATAACACATTTTTGCAGTCTTTCATAGTATGAGTTTTCAGTCCATTAAAAGGCAGAGCTGAAGGAGTTTAATTATTCCTGATACATGTTAATGTTCCTATGCATGCTCCACACAGAAAGAGCTGCTTTTGTTTTCATGTGAGAAACATTGTCCCAGTAATTCAAAAGTTTCAGGGAACTCTGCAACAAATAAGATGTGATCATGTAAACATATGAGAATGAACATGTGAGTCTTTCTAAAGTATGATGTCTATTCGTGACTGGCTGTGAGAAGTTGGATTTTATTAATTATTCTGTATAACAAAACTCTAAATCTGTAAATGTCTAAAAAACTGTAACCTTGAATAATGATGCTTCTTCTGTACCTTTTCAAATGCCGATATACTTGATATACAGTATAAATGTATCCAACAAGCTATGATCATGATTCCTTTTTCGACCAATCCTCAAATACTGTAAATTTAAAGTATGAATGTGTGGTTTGTACAAGACAACTTTGAACAAGACATAAAATATTCAAATCAATAAACAATTCTCGAGTCTATGTGAGAGAAAATGTTTTGTTAAAGATTTGGAGCTACAGTTATTTTAAAACCAATCTGAATTAGTCTTTAATCAAACTTTATATTCGTTTATGACACTTTCATCTAAAATGACTTACAATGCTGCTACAACATGCAGACCCAGTTAGCATCAACCTGACATTAAGATACACAAAAAAAACATTTCCAGAAAGGCAGCAGTGGTACATAGAGGGAAGTACAGAGAGTAGAGGAGGTGAGGAGATAAAGGGGAGGAGATGCTCTCTGAGGAGCTGGGTCTTCAAGAGTTTCTTGAAATTAGACAGGGACTGTTCTCGGAAGGGATTGGTAGGTCATCCCTCCATCGTGAAATGACACATAAATAAATTCTGGATTGTCTAAAACATTGTGTAGATGCTGCTAGAACACAATGAGTGGCCGATTTGTGACGTGAACCTCTGCCAGAGCAATCACAAGTAGATGTAGACCCTTAAGCACTTTGTAGGCTAACATCAGGGACTGGAATTTAATGCAGGCGGCTGGATTTGGTCGATGAAGCTCGATGAACAGAGGAGTCACGTGATACTTTTTAGGGCTGATTGAAGATCAGACACAGTGGGTAGCCAGAGAGAAGCCAGGCATAAACACAGCAAAAACACAGAGAGGCAACAGTGCAAACACACACACACACACACCCTCCTTCTACAACAAAAAGAAAGAATTAATTAAAAAAACTTTTCTCTATGTCTGTGGTGAAATCTCTGGTGGAAACAAAGATTGATGACTTTTTCATTCCAAAAAGGAAAAGTACCAAATGACCATCAGTTGTTTGTTGCCTTCCTCTTGTCTCATGGGCTTACAAATAAACATTGACATATGATTGAGCAAACACTAAGGACGGTACCACTAATTTAGTTAGAAGCAAACGTGCACTTTGTGTTTTAAACACAAAAAAAACAACCGTAGCATGGATTCCAGTATAGATAAGACGTCAAAGGAGGCAAAGGCTAACCAAACATGTGAGTCACTGCTGATACTCATATTTGCTCCAGAGGAGACAGAGTTTGTACCCAGGTGGCTTTACAAAAGTAGAAAGTACCACAAAATGATGTGTTGTTGTTGCTCATGCTGCGTCATGGTTTAGATGTTTTGACATTCATGGATGTAACAGCCAATATTTGTTCTATTCTTTATGTTCATTCACTAGTCATGTACATGATATTTGAACTACAGTAAGTGCTTTCTATTCATCTCCAGCTCATTATAATGGTTCCCTGCATGCCTTCTTTTGACCTAAAAAGCTAAAGTAGTGATGTGTGAGAAGTATATGAAGACAGTACTTAGATAAATGCTTACTTACCAAAGTAAATAATCTACTTTGGCTCTTGTTTTGAGGTCAGCTGCTGTTTGCACAACTAAATCAACCATCCCACGCTGTTGGAAGGGCAGTGCTGCAGGACTTTACTCACATGTTACTGGAAATCGTTTTTTAAGATCACCACCTCTTGGATTATTGGATGAAACTGTGGGGGGGCAGGGAATCCAAAAAATGATCATAGATAATTTGAGATTAATTTTCCATGGCCGCTAGATAAAAGTAATCCTTTCCGAGCTGCCGCTGGGGGCCTGCGCCCCCTGTGGACACGGCCAGTCTTTAACAGGGCCACCCATTGGTCATTTTCATCCACTAATCTGAAGTGGCACCACAGAGACAGCATTTCGTACAATGTGCTTCTTCTTAGCGACACGCTCAAGCTTCTCCAGAGGGATGCTGAGTTTTTTCCAAATGCTTCCAGGGGCCTCTCCCTTTATGACGTTTTTCCTAAAAACCTTCAGCAGGAGGAACCAGGAGCCATGGTCGGAACCAGAGCCTGAAGCTCAGCTGCTCCCAACGGTGAAGCTCCTCATCCTGTCTCCAAATCCGAGGCCAAAGATCCAGTATTTAATGTCCATGTGCCAAAGTTTAGGTACTTGATGTTTGAAATGCACTGAAAATTCCAATTAGAGGAGATTCAGAGTCACCTTTGCATAAAGTAGGTATAGAACAATACTACAATTGTAGTCTGATGCAATTAGGGAAAGGGATTTAAAAAAAATTAAGGTTTACTTTTTCTCCAATATATTTTATTGAATTTTCTCTTTTTTAACACAACAAGCCTACAGACAACAAACTTAACATTGTAACGTGTACTTTTACACACTTACTTTCACTCATACACTCACCATTCAAACCTGCATTTATTTAGTTCCAAGAATATACAAAACCCTTTAGATTAAGACAGAGAAAAATAACAAGGTAATGTGTGAATAGAAACTTTAGTCAAGACATCCATTAATAAACTCAACCTTAAGTCCCTATTGTCCTCATATATGGCTCCCAGAGCTTCTCGAAGTCCTGTTGTTTACCTTTGGCAATGTATATTAGTTTTTCCAGTCCGAGTGAGTTTGCAATTTCTTTCTTCCAGAGTCCCATGGAAGGGGGTTCCATGCGATGCAATAGATCATCTGGCTTGAAGTCCGTAGTCTATCAATGTAGTCTTCATCTGTGATTGTTTAAGTTCCATTGGGTATATTCCTAGGACACAGATTTTAACCTTTAATGGAACTTTCACCTCAAACAGTTCAGATAGACACCCAACAACATCCCCCCAAAACTCCTGGACAATTAAGGGTTCACTTTAATTTATCTAAGCTCTTTATCTTGTCTAGACTATAGTGGTATTACTGATTTCATTATCAAGTTAGAGATAATTGTCTCTTTAAACATGCATCCATGCTTTCAGTATCAAAGCGACTGGAGCCTATCCCGGCCACCAGTCCATCACAGGAACACACAACTATGCACACTCACTGACGTTATATATGTTAATGATGTAACGGAACGGCCTGGAGAAAAAGCATACATCCATGCTAGCTCCAACAGTGCAGCAACACCAGGTCAGATTTAAGGGAATTCAGCATTTGACTATGAAACCCTTTAGACACCGCTTAAGAATAAATATGCCTTCCTCGAGCTTTTAAAACTAGTTCTATCTGAACAAAAAGATCATTGGAAATGCTCAAAAAGCTGACAGTGGCATACGAGACATTCTGACCTTTTGTCCCACCTATAAGGGCCAAAAGAAAATGAGATGCTCTATAGCCTCAGGCTTGTCACTAACCAAAACGAATGCTGGCCAATGAGAGCTCTCAGGGTGAAAATGGGTGGGGCCTCTGTTCTCTGCAACCTACTAACAACTGCTGACTCGTAGGATTATCGCAGTCAGCCATGGGTCACCCTGGAACTCAGATGCTGTCATGGGCGCTGTGTGTCTTCTTGTGCTTGAAGGATGTGTCGGCGGTACCGTAAGTCAGAACCGTCCAAAGCAAGTCCAGTCCTCCCTGGGCCGCCGTCCTGCAGGTTTTAGAGGTTTCCCTGTCTCAGCACACCTGATTCACATCAAAGTGTAATTAGCAAAGCTCAACAATGTCTCCAGAGGAGATCCGGCCTAATCAGAATCAGGTGTCCAGAAGCAGGAAAATGTCTAGAACCTGTAGGACAGGACAGTGGCCTTAAGAGGACAGGAGTTTGACACCCCTAATCTAAAGAAATGATGAACTTTGTTGTGCATGTGTAAGAGTTTCTGTTGTTTTATTAACCCACACTGTGTTTTCTACTTATCCAAATCATTATTATTATCATTCCTATATGTCTGGATCTATAGACACTATATGGTGGCCATGCCCGCCGTTCTTCAAGCTGGGGGTGAGAACAAATTCTGTGCGAGTCTGTTCGAACCCGACGAGTCCCTCGTCATGACTGTCACCTTAAGCTCGCTATGGGGAAACATAACTCTGCTTGAGAGGACGTCCAGCAAAGCGTTTCAGGAGTGCACACAGTTTCAGGTCATCTCCTGAAAAACTTGATTAATTTCTGCTCATTCTAAAGCCAACTTCAAGATTTTTGGATCTTAATTTGTCATTTTGGGATGATATTGATGGCATTTTTAACACACAAATCAACCAATACACAATATAAGTGTTTGATCTCAGCAATAAAAAAAAAAAAAAAGTCTTCTTTCTGTCACAGGTACCTTCAATGGAAATCGAAAATATGGGGAGGTTTGAAGTGAAGGTCCAAGGAAGCAAGTTTTTCTCGAGAGAATCCAGGAGTGTCATGCTCAGAGATAATCGGCCGAAGTCGTTTGTTCAAACAGACAAACCGATCTACCTTCCCGGACAGACGGGTGAATATTAAATACATGTGTTGATCATATTTGGAAAATAAAGCATTGTTAGAAAGCCCTTTGTGCAAGATGTTTGTAGAAGAAGGGCTAACCTTAAGTGATCCACCGTGCCAATATTCTCACTTACAGTTACCTCTGTAGTTAAAAAAATTATTGTTCTCTTTCTGTTTTTCATTACTGAGGCAGCCTCCAGTGAAAGTCTTTATCTAATACGTGTGAATTTCTCTTTCAGTGCATTTCAGAGTTGTCTCACTAGATGCCAAGTTCAGACCTGCCAAGACACAGGTGAGAATTTCAAACAGTTTTCTTATGTGAAAAGATTTTTTTTTAAAAATTAAAAAATGATTAACATCTGATTATATATTTTGCATTTTACATTTTACAAAGTGTTGCTGTTAAATTGACAACTGCTCTAAAGGGATTTCATATCCATCAAAATCCATTTACACATCAAGTGGTACACCACAAACCCAGAAATATTTAGATTTGCTGGATCATGTTTCCATTTCTTGATAATGTAGAGTAAAAACATCTTATCCTTTTTGTTTTCACAGTATGACATGATTGAACTTGAGGTAAGAAAATAACACAACCTTACAGTGTGCTAAACTAATGTATTTCTTGAACATTTACATTTATGGATTTTGCAGACGCTTTTATCAAAAGTCACTTACAAAAAGAGGGTTTAACATTCAACTACAACACCAGTCACACACTTACCTTACCCTGAGTCTAATATGCTAGAAAAGGATTTAACATGAAGGATTAAACATTCAACTACCTCATAGATTACACAGTACACAGGACTTCAAGGATTTCTTTCAGGAGGAAAGAGAATCTGATGCTCCTATAGTGTTTGAAACGTTGTTCCACCAGCGTGAAACTGCAGATGAGAAGAGTCTAGATTGACCTGTTGGGGTTAGGATTAGGGTTAGCTGACCCTCCTTGGAGGACAAAAAAATTCAGGTATTTAGAATAAAAACTTGTTTACTCAATCAATGAAAAAAATAAAGAGAGAAAACTACTTTTGGTAAAGGATGATTGACAGTGTTGAAGAAAACAAAGGAAAAATACACTAGTAAAAAAGGTGAATGGCAGCTCAGATCAGTCATTCTTTATATAGCTCAAAGTCAAAAGGCTCAATGTTACAGCTGAGAAAACACTGACTGCATTTGAGTGAGATGTCTGCGGGGTCTAACATTATACTTGACACAGTTTGCATTGATTTCCTGGTTTTACTGCACTAAGGTTGAAGAAACATTTCATTCTCCTTCTGATTCATCTTTCTGGTCAGGATCCTTACAGAAACAGGATCGGACAATGGCTAAACAAGACATCCCATGGCAAAATACTGCAGCTTTCTTACTCCTTGAACTCTGAAGCCCGACAGGGAGTATACACCATCTCTGTCACAGAGGGTTACCGTAAAGAATTCCACAACTTTAAAGTGGAGAAGTATGGTAAGTTTGAGTTTTACAAGAAAGCTTCAATTATATGCTTAAATCTAATTTTCGTTATTTTCCTTCTGCAGTTTTGCCAAAATTTGATGTCAATGTAAATGTAAGAGAAGAAGTAAGTGTTGGACTGGAGGGATTTGATGCTAAAATATGCGCAAAGTAAGTGACACTAGTCCTTTACAAATCACAAAATATGGTCTATGCGTTAAAGATTTATTGTGTGATGCACAACACAGTGTTTACCCCTCCTTCTCTTTTATTTATTTAGGTACACATATGGACAGCCAGTGCCAGGGAGTGTTAAAGTTGAAGTGTGCCGACCACTTCAGAGGAATCATTACGAATCACTTGAAATTACTGAGCTTGGGGTCACCACCCCATGTGACACAAAGACAAAACAGGTATTTGTGGAAAAACAATTAATCCAATTTGCCATCTCAAATCAGGGCATAATAAAAAAATAAACAAAGCAGTTAAATCAAGGGAGTGATGAAAGATTAAGAAAGAGTATATAGAGAATATTGGATTGACATTGTTTCTCAGTACTGCTGAAATTGGCCAAATTCCCCTACTGATTTATCCTGAATGATCAAAAAGACCACACATATTTTTAATGTACGAATTGCATGAAATATTTAATGTCGAACTTCTTAGATCTTCTTCACTGTTGAAATTGAAAGTCATAGGCTACTCCTGCTTTATCCTGTAGAGAGTGGTGGGGGTTGGAACCCAGGAGGCCAACCTCCTTTTTTTTTTTTTTTTTTTTTTTTTTTTTACCAAACAAGTCTTTGGACTGTGAGCTGACACTTCAGACACGCAGGCACAAGAAGAATACACAAACCCTCTGTCCCTCAACAGCTTCTTCAAACTTAAAAAAGACTTTTGAACTGTTGAGCCAGAGAGAGATAATCAGTAAGAGGGATCTACCGAGTCAGCATAATCTGCAACCAATAATGTCGTTAATTCAGATTTTCTTCTATGGTGCTATTATGGAGTTCAGTGTTCAGTGTTCGGTCAGCATGTAGAGTGGACTATATCATCTATTGAGCAACGCTCCCGCATTCTTTGGTGCATTATCTACTCAGAGGCCCCCAGCATCATCAGAAAAGGCTACAAATGTAGGCACTGAGGCACTTGAAAAAATCATATATTGTGTATATTTTATCATTATTACTGTTTTCATATTATGGAAACAAATTAATTTAAATACAAATATTTGCTGAGACTCCAGCAAAATTTTGATAGTATTGCATTCTAACAACAACTGAGGAATTCATCGAAAAATGTTGAAATTAATTAACTAATTAACAAATTCGGCCGTGATGCTCCAACCTACATCACTTTCATGTTAAAATGAGATTCGCGTTGTCAAAACAAAGAGTTTGATTTACTCTTTGGTACATCAGTCATAGCCCCATGCTCTGAATAGTCATTTGGTACGATGACTTTCACTTTGGCAGCAGAGAGAAAATGAAAATGACGTTTTTTTTCATGCGTGTGACTTTATTTTTTTTGTGTTCCAGACAGATAAGACAGGGTGTGCTACGTTTAATTTCAAAATGTCAAATTTCACCAAACTTGATACAAAGATTGCGATGGACACTTTGGAGGTCAGCGCTATAGTGAAAGAGGAGGGGACAGGCAAGTTCACAACTTTATATCGCACCTTTGGAAACAAATGTTTGTGTGACAAAATGGTATGATCTTGAAATTTAAGATTGAACTAACTTGGCTGCTTTTTTTTCAGGTATTTCAAACTGGAAAGAGGAGAAAATTCGCATTTCATATGTTCTTGGTAAATTGTCTTTTGTTGACACTCCCAAGCTCTATGAACCAGGATCATTTGTTGAAGGAAAAGTAAGTACAACAAGTCTTAAGGTTTTTTTAGCCAAACTTTTTCCACAAAGTAGCTCGTATTGATTTGAAATGGTTTTCTCCTTATTCATCTATTTGTCTATACGTTGCTTGTTACTCACAAGGATCATTGTCGGATTCGGGCCAGTTAAATTGCTGAAGTGAAACTGAGACCTGGATGGCTGCCAATGGTGGCTTTGTTAGTGAGAACCCCCCCCTTGATTACCCCAAATTGCTTTATTAATTCAATTTTGTTACCAAACTTACTTACCAATAATGGCGAACCTGTATTTATTTATAACAGGCCGACCCGTCCTCTCTCCCAGAGTAGACTAAAGGACTTGCACTTGGACGTCTTTGCTTTCTATTTCTTTGCCCTTTTAATTATTTGTGATTAGTTTAATAGAAGTTCCATTATTTGTTTTGGCATTCTAGCAGTTTCAATGTACTTTTTTCCATTATTTTGCCCAGATAATAGTGATGGAGTTGGACACCTGATGATATGACACAGCTTTTCAAGTCGTCTGCACTCTCAGTGATTTATTTTTATTTTTATACAGGTTAAAGCTGTCGACTACGATGATCAACCCATTCCGGACATGCCGCTGCACCTGTTTGTGGGTGAAAGGTGGTCAGCGGAGTTGCTCCAGAATCTCACCACTGACAGCAGTGGCTTTGCCTCGTTCACATTTAACACAAGTAGATATGACTGGGACATCGAACTCTCGGTGAGTGCAACGGCTTCCCAAACTGTAGAATACAAAACGTATATTCCAGCAAAGCGTGTTCCTTCATATCGACATACAAACTTTTCCCCCCCCAAATGAAAACAGGTAGCCAACACGCCAAATCTGGACTACCGTGACTACAGAACTGCTTTTTATGAGAGAGGTACACACACAGTGTATCTGTCCAAACCGCCTTCCCTTGATACTAAAACAGTCAGCTCTGTGAATGTGGAGAAGAAGGATGAACCACTTGTCTGTGACAAAGAGGAGGAACTCTCCATCCAGTACACGATAGTGAAAGAAGCCAAGGGCTCTGTGGATTTGATGTACCTGGTGAGTTAAAGTTAGGCTGTAACCAGTTTCCTCTCCTTCATGTTGGAAATATTTGTTTAAATTTCTATGATCCACTACCATCAAAGATTAACCTGGGAATTTTGAGGATTTTACTACCAGCTTGTCTGAGCTCCATGTGGCCATATAAATTGCAGATGTTAAAATGCATCCTAATGATACCGACAGTCCAAATCTTTATTCTATTTCATAGCATTTAAATACAATTATTTATTTAGTTATTTTTAAAGTCTTCCTTAGTCTTCCTGTGTACCTTGATAGCTTTATTTGTCATTATTTATCTTCAATTTCTGTTCCAATCTTTTCATTCTGTCACTTTTTATAAACGTGTTGTACAACTGATGTTTTGTAATTCCCATTCTTTCATACACATACTCACAGTTCTCTTGTTTAATTAGTCCCATGTAGTCAGTCAATCTGGGCCAAAACGTTTTAAGCCTCTTTGTGAAAAAGGCTGCAATTCATTATTACATTGATATTCTCCTTCATGTCAGAATTTACCATTCAGTAATTGTGTGTATTTCACTGTTAGTGCATATAAAGCATACAGAAACATATTACCGTATTCAATGTTTTCTTCCAAATCCCCTAGATCTTATCCAGAGGAGCCCTTGTTATGCAAGGCCAGAAGAAGGTTGAAGTGCAAGATAAATCAGGTGAGTTGAAGGTATGTTGCTGTAGTGTTTTGATTTCAGGAAACGTGTTGGGGGGGAAAAAAGTTATTTTCAATATCAATGAAATATGTACAATGTGTTGCACTCTTAGTAAACCAGGGCGAGGTGTCATTCAAGTTGTTGGTGTCCCCGGACATGGCGCCAGTGGTCCAGGTCGTGGCTTACATTGTCCTTCCCAGCAAGAACGTGATCGCTCACAGTGCTAACTTCCAAACAGAGAAATGCTTCAGGAATAAGGTCAGTGGGAGAAGAGAAATGACACAGTATTTTAAAAAGAGATGGACATTCATATGATGTGGTCCGTCGATGTCCGTTACTCCCCAGGAAAATGACTTTACCCCAAACTCTTCTGTTAGCAACCAATGGCAAAGATAATGTCATGTTATGGTTTTCTATGTAGACACAAAGATAAAAACTCACATTTGGGACCTCACAAATGACCCATCACCCCTTTCAAATGTGCATTTGACAATGTCTGAATGGTTGTAAAGGGTACACGCGTGTATTTGGCCTCCCATTATAGATTTAGAATGATTACTTGACTTGCATTGAGGAGATCTCGTCCTATTCGCGCACAATGTGAGTTGCTGTGATGAGTGTCTGCGTCAGGTATCCCTGGAGTTTTCGCCGACCTCAGCCGTCCCTGGAGAGGAGGCCAAAATGCAGCTGAGTGCCCAGCCAGACTCCCTGTGTGGCGTGAGCGCCATCGACCAGAGCGTCCTCATCAAGGAGCCGGGGAAGACTCTGAATGTAGACAGAGTCAGTGCCATCAGTTGCTCTAACTTTTCTTATCATCTGGAAATATCGCATTGTGTTTTAAGACAGATGAAGCGGCCTTTGAAAATTTTTTCTCATCAATCAAAACAAAACCATTTGGTTTCTTTAACGTGCACCGCGCTTTTTTCCTTTCAGATATTTGACTTGCTGCCTGTCAGGGAACTATCACACACCCCATACGAGGTTGAAGATCCTGAACCGTGTTTGCAAGTGAGACCAAAGAGATCCGTCATGCCATATCCTGATCGAGACTCCAAAGATGCCCACAGCGTTTTCAGTGTATGTTTTTTTCATTATAAATGTATACAGTGTTTAGAATGAAGGAGAATTGAAGAACATCTGATTTAAAGTCTGAAATATCGCGCTTTGGCGTTCCGCGTGTCAATCGTGTAACGTTGCGTGTTGTTGGATTGTGTAGAATGTGGGACTGAAGATGGCAACAAACTTGATGACAAAATCACCCACTTGTCTCACACTGAAAGGAGTAGAGTACTATCGGGGTAAGCCATCCGTTTAGATCTGTTATGTGCCAGATTTAAAAAATAGAATACATGCTCCAATGCCGGTCTATTGTCTTGTTCAAATATATCCTGTTTCTTTTTAGGAATTCACAGAGGGTATGGAATCCAAGTCTCCAGCATGTCAATACCACAAGGAATGGGAATGGGAGGAGCTAGTCTCTCTCCTTCCAACGATGAACCACTTGCAACAGTCCGTACTTTCTTCCCTGAGACATGGATATGGGACCTCGTGGAAGTTGGGTGAGACATAATTGCGGGATTTTGCTGTGAGGGGGATGGTTCTCACCACCACACCACTGTGCCGCTACCAGTCATTCGCTATGGCTGTTTTCAATTGATATTTGTTTTTGTATTACCCAACCTTTCCAGGTCAACCTTTAGTATGTAGATTGAGGATATGAGTTCCGGATTGGGTTGAGATGAGATTTGCCCGCAGGACGATATTTAACATATTGAGCCTTTCACAGTTTGTATGAGTTTCTGTCTACCTTTACTGCATACAGTGTGGTCCAAAACACTCCAGAATGACTGTGGCTGCTTCTGAAGGTGGACACGTCGTCTAGGGAAAATGTAGACACCCACTGGGTCCCAAAACTGTGTGTTGCTCGGTTTTTATCATTTTTTTCCTCCAAATGTTTCGCCTTTATGGACACTTTTTAATGTCGACCCACAGCGCGATTCATGTAGGTTTTTGACTAATCAAAGTCAAGCAAGTTTTACCATCTGTGCAATGATTTTATGTCTTTATCTGTTGTTCCAGAGAGTCCGGAACAAAGGATGTCGCCGTCACTGTCCCAGACACCATCACCACTTGGGAGACGGAGACATTCTGTTTGTCCTCTCAAGGTTTTGGTCTGGCTCCTCGTGTAAACCTGACTGTTTTCCAGCCCTTCTTTGTTGAGCTCACGCTGCCTTATTCCATCATCCGTGGGGAGGTCTTTGAACTCAAAGCAACTGTATTCAACTATCTAAAGAGTTGCATCATGGTAACAGATCATTTTACTTGACAAAAGTAAATCACATCATGATATGATGATAAAAACAACATGGGCATATTATTATTACCTTTTTATGGCATTGTTTGGGTTGTAGTTTGCTTTCTCTGAAGATTTCTCCTTTTCTCTCTCCTCTCCTGTTTGACCATTTTACTTTAACATGAAGCAAGAACATTATAGGGATGATCCTGCCGGTCTTGATATATCTATTACCAATTTGTTTGATAATTGTCCACCACTGCGTGCTGGCTGTATTAGCTGGTTCATCTTAACTAATCCAACCCTGCCTCTCCCCTACTGACAGCCTGAATGTCGTCTCAGTCCAGATCAATGTAGTAGTGCTGATACCAATTCTGACCAGAAGAAGTATCTCATAATGTCATTTGGGGATTGTGTCGCTAACATACCACAACTGTATTTACACAAACTGATAACAAAATGCCAATTGACGTTATGGTTTTACTCATAAAGGAAATGAACGTTCATTTAAAGACTGAGCATTGAGATCAGTCAGTGGTCAGTCTAAACAGACAGATTTTTTCCAACAATTTTGGAACCAAGTCACTTATGCTTTACTGTACACATTAACCAATGATTCATTTATCATTTATAAATGTATAAAAACTTACTTCAAAATTATAATAAAATAACTTCATGGCTTTTTAATGTATATGATTACCCCTTCGTTCCATGAAATATGAGCTGTTATCTTAATATTTTTAGTTCAACGCTATAGCAAAAATAATCTTTGTATCTTTTGAACAGGTCAAAGTGACCGCAGCCCCCTCCCCAGATTACACTCTCACCCCCCTCTCTGGGAACCAGTACACCTCCTGTCTGTGTGGCAGCGAGCGCAGAACGCTCAGCTGGACCATGACCCCCACGGCCTTAGGTGAGGGTCAGACTTCCACCACTCTGGTGTAAAAGTTACCGTAACGGCCTGTGACGACTTGACTGCTTCTTCCCAGGCACTGTGAACGTGAGCGTGACTGCCGAGGCTGTGCCGTCCCACGCTTCCTGTGACAACGAGGTCGTGAGCGTTCCAGAAAGAGGTCGCATTGACGTGGTCACCCGGCCTCTCATAGTAAAGGTTGGTGCCGTGGGATGAGAGATATATTTGGGGTGAGGTTGGATTACATCACGCTTCCTCTCATAATGAACAATGTCTCCTGCATCTCTTCACCAGGCAGAGGGAACTGAGGTAACAACAACGCACAACTGGCTGCTCTGCCCAAAAGGTCAGAACCATTCCTCCACAAACAGCCTAGATGTCAGATTGTACAAATGAGGGGGCATTTACATCAGTACATGTTTCGAAATGGTCTCAGACTCTTTTAAATGGCACCAAAAAAAATAGAATAAAATTAATTAAAAGGCACCAGTGCCTTTTTTTTAATACATGTTATCAGGCATTTCACTGTGCTAAAAACATTGCTTTTTAACAAAGTTTCGTCTGGATTTTTCTCTTAAAAATGATTGTTTTTGTGTACAGGAAACGCTCTGACAGAGGAAACAGAGATGCAGCTGCCTGACAATGTGATTCCTGGATCTACTCGTGCTACAGTATCAGTCCTTGGTAGCATATTGTTTTACCAATCTTTTTGTGCAATAGCGTGGAGTTTAAAAAAAAAGCTGTAATATGTATCAATGTATTGTACATAAACGTATCAAAATCAGTTTTGAATTAAAATTCCTTTAGGCTGACTGCGTGTTTTGGTGTTCTGCAGGTGATATCCTTGGCCGGGCCCTGAAGAACCTCGATGGACTGCTGAGGATGCCGTACGGATGTGGAGAACAGAACATGGCTCTCCTGGCCCCCAATATCTACATCCTCCATTACCTCCAAAAAACTGAGCAGCTGACCGAAGCCATCAAGGAAAAGGCGTTCAGCTTCCTAACTAACGGCACGTCAGCCTGAACAATACACTCCAACGATAAAGTCAAGCTGTTAAGTCATTCACAACTTTGTGTTTAGTATTACACAAAGTGCTAAAGTGTCCAGAAAACATCCATTTAAGGTTCATAGTCAAATATGAATTTGGGATGTGGGTTTGATAATCAACAAAGAAAAAAGATCTAAAAATGAATGTCATGACTGAGCTGACAGATGACGATTACATGGCATTGGTGGTACTTTTATAAGCCAATACCTACAGATTTTATCACATGCACTGTTCAGTCAATTTTCTGCTATTCAGCATCATGTCGGCATCATGTCAAACTCTGTGGTGTTTCTTTTGTTTTACAGGTTATCAGAGACAGCTCAATTACAAAGATGAGAGTGGGGCATACAGCACATTTGGATCAGGACCAGGAAACACCTGGTGAGAACCTATTTGCCAGTATGTGTGTGATGTGTTGGGGATTGGATTCCTCCGGCAGGACAGTTGATAAATTGTGCTGACGATGCTGTTATTGATCTGAAACAAAATGCACGAGTTAGATGCCCTTCACCCATTTATAATATAACTTTGATATTTTTCACTGTTTCATATTTTGACATTTGCGTGGTTCTTTTCAGGCTAACTGCTTTTGTGATGAGATCTTTTTACAAAGCTCAGTCTTTCGTCTTCATCGACTCAACAAAAATTGAAGAGTCCAGGGCTTGGCTGGAAAATAAACAACGAGAAAATGGTTGTTTTGAACAGTCGGGAAAACTCTTCAACAACAGAATGAAGGTGAGCTGACAACTTCCTGTTAGTTAACACGGCACAAAGAAGTGACCAATGCATTTCTCTAGTTGCTGTATTATTGTTCTTACTATATATGTAACGGTATGTGAGCAATGAGAAGAAGCATTGGTTCTCTTTCAAGTTACTTCTACATGTTTGAAGTGATGCTATTTGTCATTTTTTCCATGAAAAGCAGGAAAATGCTACTATTTCCATTCCGTTTTGTGCATGTAAGCAGTGGTCTTAAGACTCTACGGTCTCAGGTCTTTGAACTGTGTGGAAAAACTGATGATAACGTCTACGGGATGGTCTGTCTGCAGGGTGGTGTGTCTGACGAGGTGACGCTCAGTGCGTACATAACCGCTGCCTTTTTGGAGATGAACATGAAAACTAACGTAAGTAAATCAATTCACCACCATACTGCTTTTACGTTGTCCAATGTTTTGTTTCTTCGTTCTATTAAACTTGTATCTTATTCGATACATTCGTCAAAAACAGCCACATCAGAAATAAACAAAAATGTAAATAAAATGGTCCTCCGACTCAGTTTAGAGTTCAAATTAAATCCAGCCAGTTGGCTGGATGGATGGGTGGATGGATTCAGATCAAATCCAGTCAGCATACAATCAAATGACACATCATTGTTCCTATTTTTTCTGTTAAAGACTACGGTGTTGAAGAGGAGCCTTTCATGCCTAAAAGAGTCCATCAGCGGCATCAGTAACACCTACACGACGGCTTTGCTGGCGTACGTCTTCACACTGGCAGGAGACATGGAGACCCGTGCTCAGCTTCTGCAGCAGCTGGACACGGTCGCGATAAGAGAAGGTGAGTCCGCTTCCGAACTGGAGCCGTTCAGGTTTAAGGACAACCTCAACCGAGCCCTGTGCATGGCTGTTTTTTCAGGAGGCGTCCTTTACTGGTCCCAGACAGCGACAGAAACATCCGCCTCTCTGTCAGTGGAGATCAGCTCCTACGTGCTGATGGCCAAACTCGGCGCCCCCCACACGGCCGAGGACCTGGGCTACGCCGCAAGCATTGTTCGATGGCTGACACAGCAGCAGAACCACTATGGAGGCTTCTCCTCCACCCAGGTACCGCACACTGCCGTCCGTTGTGCTAACAATGCACCTTTCATCTAAAATCGGTGTGCATTTGTGTCTCTTTGAGAGATACAAACAATGTGATCTTTTTAAACTTGTGAAAAAAATCTTATCACCTTTTTTTCTGAACCTTTTTTTTGTTTTACATTCAAAAGCACCAACTGATGTTTAAAACTCTGAATCAAAGTGTCAGAGTGTAAAGTAAACCAAACCTGAAACCGAAGAAATATTCCTTATTTCCCTGTTAAGCATTTTCACTCGGATCCATAATGATAGAGCATCAGTTTGTTGATGGGATTGCGATCCAACATTCAAAATGGGCAATTGTTCCTAACAACTTTATTTAATTCAATTCAATTTTATTCACAATTTTAGCATCCACTCACAACCAACGTCATCTATAGACACTACAGATGTAGAGTCCAATCCAAGCCTATTAGAATATGGTTTATTCTAATATAATCCTATTACTATTCTATATTTCTTTTGTTTACTTAGAGCCAATAAGAAAGTTTCCTAGTAAAGGAAACCAACATATTGCACAGCATCTCTTTTTTTATCCAGTCGCCCATCCCCACCATGCACAAGATAGCAGTAGAAATCGAAAACCCCATTTTAAGAAAAAAAAAAAACCCATTAATCAGAACCAAGAAGGGGGACCACATTTCTGGACTGGTTAGGGGTCTCCAGCCTCCAGCTGGGATGGAGCTGCTCACTCAGAGAACCGATGAAGAGAAACTAAATGTAGAGCAATCTAATGGGGGCGCGGTTGTGGCTCAGGAAGAGAGAGTTGCCTACTGGTTGGGGGGTCAGTGGTTCGAGCCCGTGTTTCTCTAGGCCACATGTCAAGGAGTTCTTATGCAAGGCTTACTGTTGCATCCACCGGTGTGTTTGTGTGTGTGTGGGTGTGTGTGTGTGTGTGTGTCTGTGTGTGTGTGAGTGTGGGTGAATGACATTTAGCGTAAAGCACTTTGAGTGGTCAGTTCCACTGGAAAGGCGTTATAAAACTACATGTCCATTTCCCATTACATCTCAGACATAGCTGTGAAAGTTAGAGGAAGGAACTGTCATTAACTACTAATGATGCATGTATAGAGAGGAATAAATCATTTTTATTTTTTGACTTCCTTTGCTAAATAACTTTCTTCTGAACAGCATGTAGTTTACAGTATGGGCGCACTAATATATAGGGAAACTTAGGGGTCCCAATTGTGACCCCAGGGGAACGGCAAACGTGTAATTGGAGCTTCTGTGTGTGGAACATGACTGTTCAGTTGGTTTCTCATTAGAGTGTGTGTGTGTGTGTGTGTGTGTGTGTGTGTGTGTGTGTGTGTGTG